GAAATCAGAGGGGGAGATGAACCATGAGAGACTATGGACTCTGAGAAACAAACTGAGGGTTTTAGAGGGGAGGGGGGTGGGGGGATGGGTTAGCCCAGGAATGGATATTAAGGAGGGCATGTATTGCATGGAGCACTGGGTGTTATACACAAGCAATGAATCATGGAACACTACATCAAAAACTATGATGACTAACATAACATAACAAAAAATATATGAAATAAAATAAAATTCATATTTTCTGAAAAAAAGTCCTATGAAATTTAAAGAAGCCATAATATAGAGTCCTTAATATGCACTGGGCACCAAGCTTGACACTTACTGATTTGTTACAACAAGCCTGCATGTTCGGAATCTTTCATTGTTGGAGAGAGGAGACAGAGATTCCAAGAGAAGAGTTTTCAAGGATTCATACAACCAGAAAGAAGTTGAACTGGGACTGAACCTCAGGCTTGTATCAGAAATATAACTGTTCTTAGATTCTTAACATGTGGTCTAGAACTGGATCTGCCACATTTTATTGTTCCTTATTTCATGAAATTATTGGAGCTCAGGAACAGAAGAGACCTTAAAGGTTACCTCCCTCAATCCTCCATCAGATACTTGAAATCTCAGCTAAACGTTTGTCTATATTTTCTTTTCATACCTCCAATGAAAAAAGACTCATTGCTTTCATCAAATGCATTCCAATCAAGCTAAAATTTGCCTCCCTGAAATTTTAACTGATTGGTCCTATTTTTGCCTCTTAGGTCATAAAACATGTCCAATCCCTCTGTTCTTCCTCCACCCTTCCATCTACCCATTTACTGATTCAACACAAATTGGATCTATACAACTGAACTGGGCCATTCTGTGTATTAGAGACTTAGAGGAAAGTCCTACCCCTGAGCTCACAGTCTAGTGAGAGATACTGAGAGATACTGACAAGTTTATAGACATAACTCTGAGTCAGTGCTGAGATGAAAAAATAAAGGAGGCTCTGGGAGAACACTATTGAGTACCCAACCTTGCATGGGAGGGATAGATGTGTATCAGGGAAGACTTCTCAATGAGAGCAATAGCTGACCTGAATCTTGAAGAATGCATGGGAATTTAGCAGGTGAAGAATTGGATATAAGGGAATAGTATATACTAAATATGGTATCTCCAGAGAACTATAGTAGTTTAAGTTGGCTAGAGCAAAGTGTGTGGAAGAATAGGAGTACAATGGGAGATGAGATGAAGAAATCATTTTGGACTCAATTATGACAAATGGGCCACCTGATAAAATAGTTCACACTGTGCCCTAAAACATATAAGGAAATGGTGAAGAGTTTTAAGCAGGGGAATTCCATGGTCAGATGTGCATGTTAAAAATATCTTTCTGGCTGCTAGTATGAGGAGTACATCAGAAGTAACAAGAC